ATCAGCTTGACTGCCCAAGCCACCGTGAGCCCCGAGCCCACCTGGACTATCGACTCTGGATGCACGCGTCATGTTACGCACGAATCCCAGTGGTTCTCGACCATAACGGCGAGCAGCGGCTCTATTACTGTTGGTGGGAAGAACCAAATCCCCATCGAAGGAATTGGACAAGTCGAGCTGGAAGTCATTGACTCCAACGCACCAAGAGGATGCTCACCCTCCATGATGTGCTGTATGCTCCTGAGCTGAAATTCAGCCTTCTCTCGGTACTGGCAGCCGTGAAGCATGACTTTCGCTTCAGCTTTGATCGCAAGCAATGCGCCGTGCAAACCGATGCGAAGTTCAAGATCAAGGCAATGATGGCAAACCATGCCGATCTATACCAATTCCAAGCCAACCCTGTGATGAAACACGAGGCTCTTATTGCCACCTCAGGTAAGCAACGTTCCAATCTGCTTTTACACAAAAGGCTCGGCCATCCTAACGCTCGCATTTTGCATGATTTATCTAGGAGCCAAGGCATTAGTGGTCTAGACAATGATTCATCTGTCGACCCGCAAGCACAGTTCTTCTGCACTGCATGCACATTAGCGAAGTCTCACCGCTCTCCGTTTAACTCTAATAGAATTGTTGAACGTGCCAAACACCCTTTGGAAAAAGTGCATACAGATATTTGTGGTCCCATGCCTGTTCCCAGTCTTACTGGACGCCGCTATTTTCTCATCTTTATTGATGATTTCTCTCGGTACATGCTCACGTATCCGATAACGAACCGAAGCGAAGTATATGAGTGCTATGAGGACTTCAGGAAGCAAGCCCTGAACATCTTTAGGAGCGACGTCAATGTCCTTGAATATCCGCATCCTACTGAGAACTGTGACATTCAGGTTTTGCAAGCAGACAATGCAAAGGAGTATGAAAAACTCGGGCGCCAGATTTTCCAGAAATACGGAACACATGCGCAGTTTACGAATGCATACACTCCTCAACAGAACGGTGTTTCTGAACGACGCAATCGAACCATTATGGAGCGCGTTCGAGCCCTACTGCTTGATGGCAATCGTCCCAAACAATTGTGGACGGAGTGTGTCTGTCATGTGACCACTCTGATTAACATGACACCAAGCTCGACGACTAACGGCCGTACACCATATGAACTTTGGTACAATCGCAAACCATCCATGGACTACATCAAAGTGTTCGGTTGCAGTGCCTATGCGCATATCACAGAGCAATACCGTGATAAACTTGATGCGCGAGCACGTTTGTGCATGTACATTGGCCTTCCTGAGCACAAGAAAGGCTACCGCCTAATGGACGTCAATACCCATGCAATTGTCTACAGCCGTGATGTAACCTTCAAAGAGGACGAATTCCCTCGTTTGGCAAACCTGACAAACCCTGAACAATCATCACAGATGCAACAATCGAATGTGCAAACGCAACATCTTGCACCTGTCCCTGCAACGACAACATCTGCAGCGCTGCCCAGACTGCCCCCACTCAGGGAGGCCCTAAAACGCTCGCATTACACTTTCTGTGGGGAGACGAAAAGTGATCCTCCTTCCTCTCCTAAGCCTAAAAGACCCCATTGCGACTCAGTCGGCAGGGATGTAGCCCTCGATTCCGAGGAAGATTTACAGGAGAAAGAGCAGCGCAGGACATTACTGTACACATTACTAGCTATTCGGTATGCCCCACTACGTATCGAGGAGCGATGAAATCCCCTCACGCTAATCAGTGGCGCAAAGCAGCCAAACGGCAGAGCCCACTACGTATCGAGGAGCGATGAAATCCCCTCACGCTAATCAGTGGCGCAAAGCAGCCAAATCGGAATATAAGTTCCCACATGGAAAACAACACTTGGGTATTGGTATCTCCTCCAAAAGGAAGGAAGATTTTAACCAGCCGATGGGTATTTGTTGTCAAGTACACCGGCACAGGCGACATTGACCGTTTCAAAGCGCGTCTAGTGATAAAAGGTTTCCTTCAGGAACATGGCATTGATTACAACGAGATTTTCTCACCTGTTATCAGGATGGAGGTACTCAGACTCCTTCTCACGATCGCAGCTCTGCTCGATCTAGAAATTCACCAAATGGATGTCAAGACGGCATTTCTTAACGGAATTCTGGAGGAGGAGATCTACATGGCTCAACCGGAAGGTTTTAAAATCCCGGGTAAGGAACACCTTGTGTGCAAACTCCTGAAGAGCCTGTACGGGTTGAAACAAGCTCCCCGTGTCTGGTATCAAACGTTGTCTGCCTTCCTTCAGAGTCTTGGGTTCCAAAAACTCATTAAGGATCGGTGTGTGTTCATCCGCACTAGTGACGGTAACACATGCTATATCGCAGTGTACGTCGACGACCTTTAAATCATTGCGCCTACTCCAGCCCTCGTGAATGAGCTGAAATCAGCCCTGAACAAGAGATTCTCCATGACAGATTTAGGGGAGGTGAAGTACTTACTCGGCTGGTCTATTCAACGAGACCGAAAGAGTCGAACGATATTTATCCACCAACACAAGTACGCTACGAAGGTCCTTGACCGCTTCAGCGACTACATTCCGTACCCTATTGCAACGCCAGCAGACCGGAATGTTAAACTCTCCGTAAGCAGCCAGCCCAGCAGTGAGACAGAGAAAGATGCGATGAAAGATATTCCGTATCGCGAAGCCGTTGGCAGTATCATGTATCTCATGGTAGGCACTCGACCCGACATGGCATTCTACATGCGCGAGGTCAGCTAATTCCTAGCTAATCCGGGAATGAAGCACTGGAAAGCAGTTGTTAGAGGTCTCAAATATCTCTCGGGAACGAAGGACTATGGTCTTCTTCTTGGTGGATCACTTGACATCACACGCGACAACCTTGCTGACAGTCTAACAGCGTACAGTGACTCTGACTATGCCAATTGCCCCGACACGAGACGCTCCGTCGGCGGATATGTGACTATGCTCGCAAGCAGTCCAATCTCATGGCTTTCGCGCAAGCACCACACTGTGGTTCTCTCAACAACAGAGGCAGAGTATATCGCCCTGTGCCATTGCATGCAAGAGATGATATTCCTCAAACTGCTCCTCCAAGAGTTAGGCTTTGCCACAACACAGGCCAACCTTATTCATGAGGACAACCAGAGCTGCATTAAAATCTGCTACAACCCGGAACTTCACGGACGATCAAAGCACATACACGTACGCTACTGTTTCGTACAAGATAAAGTTGAGCGACACGAATTCTCCGTCGCCTATTGCAATACCAAAGAGATGGTGGCTGACATCTTCACAAAAGCTTTAGATAAGCATCAGTTTAAAGAACTAAGGACCAAGCTCAGGATGAAATCCCTGAATTCTTTACGGTTTTCCGCATAGTGTGCGAGAATAACACTAATGCATCAAGCATGCCTAATCCAATTGCGTTCTTTTATTTTTTCCCACTGGGTTTTATATTTTGTTCGCACAAAGGTTTTCTCCTCACTGAGGTTTCCCTGGTCTAGCACCGAATTACAATAGGCATATGTAACATCAATCCATGCAAGACAACCATATGACAGGACAAACGGTATTAACTGGGCAAACCTGCCGAAATCCCAACCGCTAAGGCTACAAGCTACTCCTTCTTGAAAGCGATAAACAGACGAATGAAGGCAAAGTAGTGGATCCAGTTCATCTCCTCATCATCCACTGCAAGCTGTTTCCCCTTGTCGTATACGACACGATGATCCCCGTTGACGGTTAGCACGAAGCAGTGTCCAACGAACTGGTGGTTGTACGCAGCGACGAGATAGATGCCGTCCAAAAGGTCATGCTTGCCCAACAGGCTCTGGCCTACGTATCCACATGGTGCAAAGTTGTCACGCTCAATAGCTCTGAAGATGAAGTCTCGACCATCGTCGCGGAGCTTGCGAAGGAAGACGAGAAACACCTTCCATGTAGTGCCCCTATCGATGTCCACATTGTACTTGGCTAGCGTTTCAGCTGCGAATACGTCGATATCTGCGTCGGTCACAATGTCTGGTCGTCCTGCCAGTGAAGCAGCAACCTTGAGAGCCTCAAACATGCAGCGCCCTGTTGCGCTGGCACCAATCAGCTTCTTATCTTCATCACTGCCCTCGCAGAAAGACTCCAGATCTTTGAGATTGCTCCTTTTCCAGCGGTCAATGAGGTGAAGATGTTTGGTAAAGCCATCCTCGCGGAGTTGTTTCCTAGGCTCCCATGAGCGAAGGTAGCCCTTGCGGCTCTTGGCTTTCTTGTTGATCCAAAAGACACGGTACTCAAACCCGAGGGATCCCTTACGGCGATCCACGATCATTGCAACATCCCATTTCTTGACAATGGTGACGTATCTACCATCACTAGTCACAGAATCTACAGCCTTACGCTTAGCTTTGCTAGCGAGCTGTTTTCTTGGGGTTTTACCACCGGTACTTTTACCTGCCGTTTGGTTTGTTCTAGCCATATCGCCCAACCGTCGTCCTGACTTCCAGCCGTAGCAAAACCACGGAGGCAAGTCTTGGATCAGCTAACCCGGTTGTGTTGTGGATACTGCCAAATACCTAACTGACGGTTCAGTTTCCCAATTTTACCTAAATTGGTCGGTCATAGCATACGAACATCTGTTCATTGTTATGGATAGAAAAATGCAGGGAGGCTGTCAAGGATAATGCATCTCACTATCCTGGTACACTGTACCTGTTGTACCCGAGACCTCTCTAAGGTGATTGACTGAACTATACTATTGTATAGTGTACGCCAGAGTGTACAGGCCTCTGGCCTCCTCACCACTAATTATTCAATTCACTCTTCTTTTTCTCTCTTTCCTCACAAGTGTCTACTCTACACGTCTGTTCCCATCCGCTCACCGTAACACTAAATATTGCACTGCAATGTGCAGTCGTGTTTGCTGCAAATCGAAAGCACCGGCACGCGGCGCGATGTGACAAGAGCAACCTCTTGGCAAGAGGCTCTTGCTACAGTACAGTACAGTACAGTACAGTACAGTATGGAAATTCGCGCGCAGTCACGTCGTGACTCACGAATCCTCGAGAGGGACCCCCGCGGTGCTCACTTCTCAATTTACCGACTCAACTATAAGTCATTCCATCCGCCAAAGCAAAGCCCAAGAAGAATACGTCTATTCCTCGCTCTGATGATTGCAGTGGCCGTCCTTGCATCTTGCAACGCTCTGCCGACTAATATTTATGCTGAAACGAGGCTGCTGAGATCAATGAAGACAGCTGCCAACCATGACGCGGCAGCAGAAGAACGTGGCGCCTTCTCGTACCAGTTCAATTTCAACCTTTTGGATGACATTTTACACATTTTGCCCGATCAATTCAAGAGAATGAAAGACGAGCCAGAATTTTTAAGATTCATCTTTGCCTCGTGGAAATCGGGATTTGGGACCTCAAAAGAAGCTGTCGCCTTCATGAAATCCCAAGGTCTAAATGAAAAGTCGATCAAACAATTCAAGGCGGCATATAAGGCGTACCTCGCCCACAAACGTTTATAAAGATCCCTGTAACGGATCATCTATTAATCTCAGTGCCCAGTATTCTTGTTTGGTCTTTTGGAAAATGAGAACAGTATAAATTGTCTGTAACTTGGTAGCTCTGAAGACTTATATAACTATACACGATGTCTGAAAGCAAGTTTGTCTGTTTGTTTTTATAGTACTCTCAGCCGCCCTATTTAATGATTTCACCTTCATCGATCATCCCCCAGGCAATCTTGGTCCTGTAGGTTAAATTAGTGTATTAACGTACTTTTCGAATTACCGACGTAGAGTCGGCTTTGCTGTGTTATGGTTCTTATTAGAAAGAGTTTTGCTGTAGCTCGGCGTAATAGGTTACAGATTACACCGTTCACGCTAACTATTAATAGTCGTCGTTCGCAATTAGTCGTGGATTTGCACTTTAGTGACATCACAAATTCGAGATATTCGACAAATTTGATCAAATCTAAAGAAAAAGACCGGTTTTCAGCAGCTCTTATCGGGCTCTTTGTTCCAGTATGCTCGGTTTAAAAAGTAGACCGGTAGCTCTTACAAAATAGACAGCTGAAATACCAGTACGATCTGTACACCACAATTAGTCAGGGTATAACTAATTAATAATAATAAGTGAGGTGTATTGTGTTACTGGCGGACCTTGATTCACCTGAACTCTAATACCCATTCTCGCCAGACTAGTCTTGTTCTGCCGAGTTTCCCTGTCTACCTTGGGGTTTTCGCCTCTGCTCCCCCTTCTCTTTCCTCATTCTACTTCATCAAAGTCCCTTCATCTCTTCTTCGCTCTTCCCAATGACCGACATCGCTCTGCATACGGTCTTGGATACTTGTGCTCAGTGGGTGTTCCCCCGCTTCGCCCATTGACATGTAAACTTTGCTCACCGAGTGATCCATTGCGTAGTTTGCCAGCCAGTCTGCCGCTTTATTGTAGCTCCGGTAATGATGCGTCCAGGACTCCACTCTGCACTTATCTGCCAGACGTCGTGCCATTCTGTGCCAGTGCAACAATTTTTTGGCCCTCGGCTGGCTCCGCCGCTTCATTATTCCCAGTATCATGGCGCTGTCTCCTACAATGTGAAGGCCGTACCATTGCATTTCTTGTGCTTTCTTCAACACTCTATGTAGACCGATGAATTCCGCTTGATTGTTGGTGACTTGCTGGTGGCCTAGAGACGTCGCCGCCGCCCAAATCAGCTTCACTGTCTTGCGTAGTCCGTCGTACTCTACAATCACACTCCCACTTCCACCTTTCCCTGGATTACCGCGTGAACCTCCATCAAAGAATCCTATACGGAGGGGGTGATCGGGTTTATTCTCCTCCCCTATAGCCTCTCGTGCCGCTCTACAGTGCTGTACAATGTGACTAGCCGTCTCCAACTTCCACTTGCTTTGCCTTGTGACCGGAAAAAGCGCTGTATGATACCTCTGCAGTGACTCAATAATTGCCTTGCTGGTTTGTCTTAAAAAACCTTCCGCAGTGATCATCGGCCCCTCTGTCTGGTATGCCTGATTTACTCTCCACCTCCATAAGGCGGATACGGCTACTGTACATCCCAAGGCCCACATATCTTCTGCCACTTGATGTATATGGTCCCAACATTCCTCTGGTTGGGTCATTCCCCACTCTGCAAGCCAAGTAGGCAGTCTCGGCAGGTGGAGTGCCAACAGCTCTGAGATCTTCATATTTACTGCCTGCTCATATTGATCCCCGTCTCGAATTGGTTTGCTGAAAAGATGGAGCCACTGTCCCCACATGTCCTTGGCATCCGGGCATTCCCAGACTAGGTGAGCCTGTCCCCTGCCTTCTCCTTCCATCTGCTCCGTGCATCTCGCCCCTGAGCATACGTAGCCTTTCTTGTCCGTGGCCCATATCTGTAGCCTCCAGTGTTTCAGCCTCATCAGATTTTGTACCTGATACGGCGTCGCCCCTGTCAGTGATGGGACAGAGTTGCCAAAGGGCGCGAGACTGCTTAGCCAGCTGATATTATGTCGGGGGCAGATCTCGCTTGTGAATGCAGCAACCCAGGCGGCCTTCATGAATGAAAGCTCATTTGTGATGTAGATTTGTTGCGGTAGGCTCAAAGCACAAGTTATTCCCAAATATAATGCTAACGCTGGAAAACTGAAATATTATCGAAAGCTCAATGCGTGTCACA